CCGGTGCGGTCTGCACCCATCTCGCTACGCCTCTGCATATGTACACTGCACCCCGCCCTATCCATGCTGGTACAGCCCACTACACCATCATACATCTACCATATGATTACTAGACAGTAGACACACATTTCTACTGTAATGTTTGACGCTCAAGATACGGCTTTATCAAACCTAATTAAAGTCTTAGGTCATTAAAAATTAATTAAGATAATATACTAGAAAATTCAATTAGGATAATGCTTCACTTAATTGAATTAAGATTATCGAAAAGTAAACTTAATTAAGATAATAGATCAGACACTTTGATTATGATAAAATATGAGTTTTAATTGAGAATAATACATTTCTAAATGTAATTCATATATCACTAAACATAATTCAAATAAAATATTACTTAAGATTATCAGGGTAATCGACCACCAAACTTATTTCAGATAGATTGACAATCTGTCATATTGGTTTAAGATACATATATGAAGGGTGCATCAAAGTTATGTAAACATTTTTTCAAGAAAATATAAATTCACATTTTTTAAAACCCCTGGGCGCTTGTTCAATTCCAGAAAGTCAGATGTGCTTCTGATTTTAATAAATATACGAGGTACATTCGTCTAACTTAATACGATCAGAGATAGATCATATCACATACAACACAGCAAGCAAGTTTTGGTGAGGTTAGAGAGGGTACGTTGTTGAGCTTCTTACGATAATGCTCATCACAGATGTTAAATTATCTGATAATAGAAAGCAACTAAATTAGCACTTAATTAGCAGCAAGCAGTTAAAAGCAGTAAAAAAATACAGCAAAAAAAATCTTTGAAGCTGTATAATATTTAAAACGAGTTTTATCAAAACAGCCTAACGCCACTTCTTATGTTTTCCTCTGCTTGTAAGTTGTTTTGTCCTATAGAATTATTTTATTTTTATTTCTACACATTTAAGTAAGTCCCTTTCAATAGAATTACTTCCCTTCGTGTTCTTGAAAATACACCCGCCGACTGTTTACACAAATGTATGACGGTTCACGCTCACAACACATAATGTAGATCAAAAGTGTACTCGAAGAAAAACAAGTACAAACATAGTCTATTTTATTCAAATGGGTTTTAATAGCCCTACATAAAAATATACCCGGCTGAAAACAAACTAAATAAAAGAGTTGAGGCCCAAACCCATCGAGTTCTAGGTTGCTTTACTAATATCTTCAAGCGGAACAAAAGACACGGTACGTGCGCACCAGAATCACAAGCCAACAATCACGTGATCAATTTCGGTGCACTAGACCCGAAACAGCAGTTTACAACAAACAAACACATCGCTGGGCGTGTGCATACAGTCTTTGATCCAACAACAAACGGAAATATTTTTGGCTATCTCTGTCATACAGACACTGGTATTTCTTCAAACATTTCTTTCTGTACACTTTGTTTTTGTAAACAAAATCCATTATTTTCTGCTCAATTATATACATATGTATATATATATATATATATATATATATATATATATATATATATATATATATATATATATATACATATATACATACATATAATAACGAAATCCTGTCATCGCTGTATGTATGTTTAAGTGTATGTTTATGCATATGTTAGTGTCTTTATAGATTAATAAATAATGTGTATATTTTTTTAAAATAATTAAATGACTAAGGAAGTTGTGTCATATGTTAATGAAAAACAGGCATGATGGTTAGGAGCTAATGAGAGGGATGTTTTATATATGGCTATTTAGTCTACAGTTAAATAGACCGAATGACATCCAATCGTTACATAGATCCAGCCATCCCCCCATTTATGTATTGTTATTCCGGTTTACGAAAAAGCGCCTCCCTCCTCCCAGTTGAAAATATGGATGACTCTTTTTTACCAGTCACTATCATATAAACAAGGGTAGAGGGGGTCATCCTTAAATGACGTCACACTGTTTTGACGATTTTTACCTCCCCCCTCCCCTCCGTCACACATCGTCACAAAAAGCCAGACCCCCCACCATCCTTAAAAGACGTCACACTTCAGCCTACCCCCCCCCCCCAAAAAAAAAATTGCTGTTGAATTTTTCTTTAAACATCGATATTCCTCCAAAATCTATTCTGAGTTCTGTCAACATAGAGTATTTTAATCAATTCCTATTACAATTTATTAGGACAGTTTTCTAAAACGCGAAATAACGGCTAAAATTCGTTTTCTAATATTGCTTTTTTATAATGCAAAAGTGTGACGTCACACCATCTGAACACCCCTCCCCCCCCACCCCCTCCCCCACATCACACACCGTCACAAAATTACGGATGTGACGTCATTTATGGACGAACCCAGAGAGCTAAACTGCTAACCCGAAAAGTCTCGAGTTCGAATCCGGATTCAAGTCAGTAGACCGTCCCTGAGTTCACCTAGCTCTGATGGGTACCTAACTCACGTTAGGGAAAGTAAAGGGCATAATGCTGACCGCAGTATCCCTTCATATGCCGAGGTCACAGAAACAAGTGAACTCTACTTCACTTGCCCCGTAGACCGTCAGGTTTGAAAGGGAATTATCTGAATTATCTGAAGGGAACTTTACTACTACTTACTTGATCCTGTAACAGGTTTTACTTTAGTGTCAAGAATTGTTGTAGAAAACACCTATATAAGTCTGAAAATCCAAATAGCTGTCTATTTTCTTAACCTTTGACTGTGTATAATTCAGTAAGCAGCTCTAGATCTAAATGAACTTTTTTTTAAAAATAATTTTCCCCACCCGTTCAGTGCCTCTATAGGGCAGAGGCGTAGCAACCCCTCCCGACGCCCGGGGACACACTTTCAACAAAACTGCAGCTCAAATCGGCGCCCGGGGACATATGTACCCCCCCCCCCTTTCGCTACCACCCCTCTAATATAGACCCGCGTCCAAGCCTCATTATACGCTTTTATTGCTGCGTATGTTATTGTTATACAGTGAATACCCAAAAACCCTTACAGCGCGCCGATAGTCGCATGCGATTGAAAGAATCGGTTTTCAAAATCCTGATTATTAATTCAAGTATGTGAATTGGGGAGGGAACGAAGGCTGTAGAATAGGTAGGGGTTAAGATTAGTGTTTGTGTTAGTTTGTCATATTTTGTTTGTATTTGGGTAGTATAAGCAATGATTAGGGTTTGAGTATAATTTGATGAATTGTTATATATATATATATATATATATATATATATATATATATATATATATATATATATATATATATATATATATAAAGAAATGTATTATAAGTATTTTAAATTATTGAAGTAAAACACGGGTTTTGTTCTTTTAGAAATTATTTAGTGATGCAGGGAGATAACTTTGACATTATTGTGTGGGGAGATAACTAAAATCCTCTTACAATAATTAGTCTAATATTTCTTTCGAGCTAAACATAAAAGCGCACGTTTATATAATACAAAGCAAAAACACATATAATTAACGATTAGTCAAATTAGTTGTATTGATTGTTTATTTTTATCAGAATAACTAACGCAAATCCTTAAATCAAAACCTTCAACACACTAATGTATTAAATTACTTTCTATCTAAATAGGCTGTCTAAAATTATATATTCTTTACTAAGATATCCGAAAAAATCGTAGTTCTATTAATTACAGCAACAAAAAAAGAAAAAAAAAATTACATCTTTAGACGAGCTTTATCAAGACATTGCTTAGCAGAGTATGAGCTCCTACACAAGTCTGCCAAACGTCCAAAAGTTCAGGAAAGTCTTTTAAAAGAAATTGATAGACTTAAAATAGACATCTTAAGTTTGGAAGCAAAAGCTGCCTTAGCAACAAAAGGTATTGAAGAAAAGACATGCACATCAGAACGTTCAGCAGAGGCGTAGCGACCCTTCGATTTGCACCCCCCCCCCCCTCAAGATTTCGATTTGCACCTACCTCCTCAAACTTTCGATTTGCACCCCCCTCAACCTTTCAATTTATTTTTTCAACCCATTTTGGCGCCCCCTAAGGCCGGTGCCCGGGGACATATGTCCCCCCTCCGCCCCCCCCCCCCCCACGCTACTGTGCCTGGGACGAATCAGACAAATTTATGAAGCTGTATCTGACTCTAGGTGGTCTTGATTCTATAACAGAGCAAAATGTAAAGGCAAGTTTTACTAACAAGTCCGTTAAAGTCAGACTTCAAATTAAAATCAGTACATTGCACATTGCTAAGTTCTGTGAAGAAATTGTACCTAAGGACTGCTATTGTAAGAAAAAATCGGATTATGTATTGGTAATGTTATAAACGTCAGAGCCTGGCTAAACTTGGCCATGGGTTCAGTAGCGTAGCGAGGGGGGGGGGGGACATATGTCCCCGGGCGCCGACCTTAGGGGGCGCCAAAATGGGTTGGAAAAATTCGAAATCTTGAGGGGGGTGCAAATCGAAATCTTGAGGGGGGGGGTGCAAATCGAAAAGTTTGTCACCGGGGGCCGGGAAGGGTCGCTACGCCTCTGCATGGGTTACAGAACGAGAGAAAAAGATAAAAGAAAAATAAAACAAGCCAAAATTTGACGACTCTGAAGACCCAAGTGTTGGAATTACATAATTACTAAAAAAAAACAAATGTAAGATGAGGGAGAAGACGAAATGAAACGCACAATATCCAAAGCTTATTATGAATCACAAATGAAACAAAATAAAGAACCTTTTGGGGGATTTATAATTCCGAAATAACAATAGATATTCAACTTTAAAAAAAAATTACACATGCATTTTTACGATGTAAATTACATGTCCGACGCAGAAAAAAAAAAGCATTTTCAGGTATAAATTGAAACTTGGTAAGACACTCTGTATACTGAAAAGTAAATTATCTTAAATGAATGAAAGTACTTGTCCGAAAAAAAGTATTACTATCGTAAATCTGTATCAGTCTTCACAAGCCAATGATGAAAACTAATACTAAAAGCGGCCCTTTGCTCCTCAGGGGCCACCAAGGAATTATGATGATTATGAATACTAAAAGCGAACATGGCAAGGTATTAAACTAACGCTGGCATTTTATTTTCCCACATAGTTCACCTTTTTGTTCTTGTTATAAACATTTTTGTAAAAGTTTGAATTATGTTACAGACTAACGAACATACATATATATGATGATGTACTTGTTTATATTTGAAAAGAAAAGTTGAAACAAAAAGTATAACACCAGCAGCTGAGGATGAAAAATAATTATTTGTATAAAAAAGTAAGATCTGAATGTGATTGTTATATTGTGTATGTTATAAGGGTCGATCACTATGTCAGTAAGGCCGACCAATGTGTCAGTAAGGCCGACCAATGTGTCAGTAAGGCCGACCAATGTGTCAGTAAGGCCGACTTCTATGTCAGTAAGGCCGACCACTATGTCAGTAAGGCCGACCACTATGTCAGTAAGGCCGACCAATGTGTCAGTAAGGCCGACCACTATGTCAGTAAGGCCGACCACTATGTCAGTAAGGCCGACCACTGTGTCAGTAAGGCCGACCACTATGTCAGTAAGGCCGACCAATGTGTCAGTAAGGCCGACCACTATGTCAGTAAGGCCGACCACTCAGTAAGGCCGACCAATGTGTCAGTAAGGCTGACTAATGTGTCAGTAAGGCCGACCAATGTGTCAGTAAGGCCGACCAATGTGTCAGTAAGGCCGACCACTATGTCAGTTAGGCCGACCACTATGTCAGTAAGGCCGACCACTATGTCAGTAAGGCCGACCACTATGTCAGTAAGGCCGACCAGTGTGTCAGTAAGGCCGACCAATGTGTCAGTAAGGCCGACCTCCATGTCAGTAAGGCCGACAAACGTGTCAGTAAGGCCGACCAATGTGTCAGTAAGGCCGACCAATGTGTCAGTAAGGCCGACCACTATGTCAGTAAGGCCGACCACTATGTCAGTAAGGCCGACCACTATGTCAGTAAGGCCGACCACTATGTCAGTAAGGCCGACCACTATGTCAGTAAGGCCGACCACTATGTCAGTAAGGCCGACCACTATGTCAGTAAGGCCGACCACTATGTCAGTAAGGCCGACCACTATGTCAGTAAGGCCGACCACTATGTCAGTAAGGCCGACCACTGTGTCAGTAAGGCCGACCAATGTGTCAGTAAGGCCGACCACTATGTCAGTAAGGCCGACCACTATGTCAGTAAGGCCGACCAATGTGTCAGTAAGGCCGACCAATGTGTCAGTAAGGCCGACCACTATGTCAGTTAGGCCGACCAATGTGTCAGTAAGGCCGACCAATGTGTCAGTAAGGCCGACCAATGTGTCAGTAAGGCTGACTAATGTGTCAGTAAGGCCGACCAATGTGTCAGTAAGGCCGACCAATGTGTCAGTAAGGCCGACCACTATGTCAGTTAGGCCGACCACTATGTCAGTAAGGCCGACCACTATGTCAGTAAGGCCGACCACTATGTCAGTAAGGCCGACCAGTGTGTCAGTAAGGCCGACCAATGTGTCAGTAAGGCCGACCTCCATGTCAGTAAGGCCGACAAACGTGTCAGTAAGGCCGACCAATGTGTCAGTAAGGCCGACCAATGTGTCAGTAAGGCCGACCACTATGTCAGTAAGGCCGACCACTATGTCAGTAAGGCCGACCACTATGTCAGTAAGGCCGACCACTATGTCAGTAAGGCCGACCACTATGTCAGTAAGGCCGACCACTATGTCAGTAAGGCCGACCACTATGTCAGTAAGGCCGACCACTATGTCAGTAAGGCCGACCACTATGTCAGTAAGGCCGACCACTGTGTCAGTAAGGCCGACCAATGTGTCAGTAAGGCCGACCACTATGTCAGTAAGGCCGACCACTATGTCAGTAAGGCCGACCAATGTGTCAGTAAGGCCGACCAATGTGTCAGTAAGGCCGACCACTATGTCAGTTAGGCCGACCAATGTGTCAGTAAGGCCGACCAATGTGTCAGTAAGGCCGACCTCCATGTCAGTAAGGCCGACCAATGTGTCAGTAAGGCCGACCAATGTGTCAGTAAGGCCGACCAATGTGTCAGTAAGGCCGACCTCCATGTCAGTAAGGCCGACCTCCATGTCAGTAAGGCCGACCATTATGTCAGAAAGGCCGATCAATGTGTCACCTTGAGATTTGCACACGACGTCAAAGATGGCGCTGTGATCTTATCACACAATGCCGTTGCTATGGTAATGCGTCTGTGATTTGATCGATTAATTCTGCTCTGCAAAGGATTTTTTAAAAATCCAGTAGATAAAATGAATTAGACTATTACAGTTTAAATAATTATGCTTTCATTTAAACCAAATTAAAGTGCTCGTCTATAGGATGTCGCTCACACTATTATAGTATCAATGTCAACTATTTTAAAAATCCAAGTGTAGGCCTTTATATATATATATATATATATATATATATATATATATATATATATATATATATATATATATATATATATATATATATATATATATAAAATATATAACTCTTTTAAAATATATCATCAAGACAGACACAGCTGCTTGTAAACCACTAGTGTTATTTGAAACAAGCGGGGTATTGTACATATGGAGCAACCTAGATCTTGACGATGTATACTTTACGAAAACACACTCAATTATAAATTCTGGAGCAACATCTACGTCGAACGTGTAGCCTTTGCTTCTCTTGTAATTAGCAATCAGCTGTTGAAGGTCACAACAGCCCGCGACACGAAAATGGTTGTTGGAAAGGAGAAGGGGGGGGGGGCTGTGATTCGCGTTTCCTGCATCAGGATTATTTTCCATGTCTCTTCCCACCCCCCGCCTTCCAGCCACACAAAAAAAAATGGATGTAAATTTCATAAACAAAACGATGTCATAATCGCCTCTGATAATTTTTCGTTATCTCCCCCCCCCCCCTCCCCACTCCACCACCACCCACACAAACACTGACTGTTAATTCTATAAACAAAACCATGTCATATCCTACACAAACATTTTATCTCACCTGTTAAATAAACATCTTTCACATCACGATTACCTGGAGCCTCTGACGTCAACAAGACGATCAGCCCGTCTTAAAAGATAACTCTCGCATCTTTTGTTGTGGTCAGAACGACTTTTTCTCCAATCTGTAGCTGAATGCAGATGACTCCAGTGATAGCCGCATCTCCGCTTTAAAAATATACCGGGAGCGATCTCCCCTAAACTTTAAAAATAAACTGGGAGTGATCTCCCCTAAACATTCTCGAATATTCTTATATAAAACAACAGGGGATGGGAACTCGGGCTATAGACATGATTTTTAATCCATTTTAAATACTTAAAATTTTTAAAATAGAATAAAATCTCGTAGACAAAAGAATTGCACACCAAGTGAACGCCAAATAAAAAAGTACATAATAGTGCGCAATATTATTAGTACTTTATAAATTTACATGCGTTTTTTGAGAAATCGGAAATAGCGTAAATTAGTACTTCCGGTCAACGAAAATTACTCAAAATTTGACAGAAGGTAGAGAATTAGATCTTTTACTTACATGTGAAATTTCATTTATCTATCTGAAATAGTACTCAAGTTATAGGCTTTTGAAAAATTCAAAGTAGAAAAAGTACCACTTCCGGTTATCGGAAATCGCCCAAAAGTTGATACGGATCTACGATTTTGATAAAATACTTATATATGAAATTTCAGCCCTTTTTTCTAGTCCCGCCACTGGTAAACCGTCGAGATTTGTAAAAATCACGATTTTTTGACACACCCGCACACGCACACACACACACACACATATATATATATATATATACATACATATATATATATATATATATATATATATATATATATATATATATATATATATATATATATATATATATATATATATATAGTTGGTGCGAAAAAACCGCTGTAACTGCTTAGGCATTATTTGTGTTAACCTCTAAGTTTGACAAAATTAAATGTCTTTAGGTTTCTTGACCTTTAATTAGAAACATTTAATTAAAAATGCATCCATACAAATGTGTAATTCAATCAAGGTAAAGCAACACCATTCTCACAGTACCGTGTTTTATGTTTAGGATAACGTATTTTATGTTAGATGTACTTTGCTTTATGTTTGATTCACAAACCCTCAATCGCTAGACGATGGAATATGAAAATACAATAAAACCCTCAAGACCAAAGCCATAAATCATTGTTTCCATATACGGCAGTAGTGAGGGGGTGAAGTGGAGAGGGGGGTGATTGTGTGGGGCACACTTTACGGTCTGTGCCGTTATCAACGGGTCACACGATCGCGCCCGGGGGGCAGGCAATAAGCCCTTTAGCTGTCTGCTGCTATAGTGGTGGGACCCGGGACTTATTCATTGACTATAACTAGAGTGTGTGGAATATGGGGGGGGGGGGGGGGTGCGGGATACAGGGAACGGTTGTCATGGTTACTGGTTGTTTCTGGTTGTTGACCCAAACAACAGTTCACGTCTGCTGGTTCAGGTCACGTGATCTGGGTTGTACTCAGGGGGGGGGGGTGGAAGTAATCCGCTTAATACAGATCTACAGTAGGAGGGGGATAATCCATTTGGTACTAATGTGTGTAGGGGGGGGGGTAATCTATTTGTAGACAGGTGAGGGGATTTGAAAATGTGTTGCACTGGGGTAGGTGGTAGACTGTGTACACACTTTATTAGAAAATTCAGATAGAACCCTGAGCTAGCAGTGTAGCTGCAGCTAGATAAGTACCCTTTACCAATAGTAGCTATGGCTAATTAAATTAACACCCTCCACCAATGGTAGTGATGGCTACCTTAAAACCCTCCACCAATGGTATCTGTGGTAACCCTAACGCCCTTTATTAATAGTAGCTGTGGTTAGTTAAACAACCTCCACCAGTGGTATCTGTATCTACATTAACACCAGCTACCAATCCATCAATGGTAGCCGTGGCTGGTTAAACACTGTACATTAAAGGTAGCTGTTGCTTCCTTAACACATAGCCCCGACGGTATTTTAGGCTACCACTGCATATCAGATAAAAAATTTAAATGCAACTACACTTTTAATATTCTATGCAACACAACTGGGCAATGAAAAGCAAAATTATTTTCATACATCTGGAGGAATTATTTTTAAAATAAAGTCACTAAGTTAGGTCAATGATATTTATAATGGGAGAATACTCAGTTATGATTTTTATCAAGTGTTTCTTGACAATTTCTTGAAAAAAAATTTCATAAAATTAAGGAAAAACACAAGTATTTTCATTCTTAGTTTTTATTAAAGATCATAAAACTCGACCTCAAAAGTTGTGTACATTATTGGTAGTTGTTAAAAAAAGGCGTACATAAAATGGAATGTCTGAGGTTCACAACTTCACATAGTGTGCTAAAAATGACATCAGCAAAAAAATTGATTATACCAGCACTGTCGACATTATGTTTAAATTTTGGCTTTGGGGGAAAAAAATTGAATCACAAAAAAATAAAAAATATAAAAGTGTTTGCTTAAAAATACGCCAAATGGTTAAAAAAAAATAACAATGCAATGTAAAAATAATTCGGATTTTGGCTTACAATTATATAAATTTTGCAAAGTAAAATGTAATTTTGGCATCAATTTCAACAGCTTGAAATATATTTTTGGTTTTTATCAGCAGTAATTTTTTTAGTCAAATATAGAATTTACCAGCTAAAAATATAATTTTGGCTTTTATCAGCAGAGATTTTAACAAGGTAAATATAAAATTTACCAGCTAAATATATAATTTTGGCTTTTCAGACCAGAAACCATCTAAGGTTAATTCCTCATGTATAAAAATAGCATTCAGCGAGTATATTTAACATATTGTCAGCATTATATAAAAACAAACTTTCAATTGTGTATAACTGATAACACAATACTTCAAAATACATTTAAAAAATAATTCATCATTAGATCTGATGGATTTGTTTTATGTTTCATTAAAATAAACAACAAAAAACTAAAATTTTAACAATACTGTTTTCTTTCTTAACATAATGTGCAAACCATTATATTCTATCAGAAAGTGCACTAAAATTTAAAAAATTTTTTTAAATTTACATAAAAATTCAATTTTAAACAAGTGCCTGTGAAAGATAGTATTGATAAAATATGTTCAAAACATTTTTCAAAACATTTTTTTTTCGATTTCATTAGTACTAGAACTATAAATACTGATGAAATTCTGATATCTTGTTTTTATTCAGGATTGTTCACAACGACTTCAACTTCATTTTAATCTCACAAAAACCTTACAAAAAATATAAAATCAACACCTTGGTATCACAGTTACAATAGACCAGAAAACAATAGGTTGGTTCAGCTTGCTGCAGCTAGTCTGAGAGTTGCAGCCCTTATCAGCTGACTCTGGGAGGAAAGTTTGGCTGCTCTCTCTTGGGCCTGCTCCAACTCCTGCCATCTTCTAGCCTCGATGGCTTTCTGGGGAGGGAAAACATAAAAAAAATACAAACAATGAGGTTTATATGATAAAACATAATTATAGCTTTCTGGGTAGGGAAAAAAAAAATTTAAAATAAAAATACACAATGATAAAACATAATTATAGCTTTCTGGGTAGGGAAAAAAAATTTCAAATAAAAATACAAACAATGATAAAACATAATTATAGCTTTCTGGGTAGGGAAAAAAAAATTTCAAATAAAAATACACAATGATAAAACTTAATTATAGCTTTCTGGGTAGGAAAAAACTACAAAATTTAAAAATAAAAATACAAACAATGATAAAACATAATTATAGCTTTCTGGGTAGGGAAGAAAAAAAAATTAAAATAAAAATACACAATGATAAAACATAATTACAGCTTTCTGGGTAGGGAAAAAACAAATTTAAAAATAAAAATACAAACAATGATAAAACATAATTATAGCTTTCTGGGTAGGGAAAAAAAATTACAAAATTACAAAATAAAAATACAAACAATGAGGTGTATGATAAACATAATTATAGCTTTCTCCTATGACTTTATGACTGAGGGGAAAAAGAGATGAGAGTGAATACAAAACAAGCCTGCACATATTTCCTTTAAAAGATCCTTTTTTTTTCTGTCACAATAAAAACAAACAAACTAGGAATCCAATTAATTTGGCTGCATTCAAATGCAATAATTTTATAGTTATGTCTGTTAATTTAATGTTAACAACCTCAAATTAGTTATTTATCTTTTGTGGGTTTTTTTTTTTTACTATCCAAACACTAATTCAGCCCCAGTTCTCTATTGATTGGATTTTTTTATAGGCCAATAAAACAGCTTAATGATTACAGCATTTTTTTTTTACTGTTATAGTTGAATAATTATGTCTAAATAGAACAAGATTATTGAACCGTAAAAAAACTCAAACTAAATAAAAAATAAAACTGGGAAAACATGTAATATCACGGCAGCAATCTCTTGGCATAAACACACAATTGAATCAGCTCTGCTGCACGTGAAAATAGATTTAATTTTGGATTTGTTTATACAGTAGCCAGGTTAATTCATCATTATGGGAGATTACTCTGGTGATAATGATTTTAATACTCTTAAATGTAAAATGTTTATTTTTATTCAATACACACACGTTAGAATTTTAACATGATGTCTCAGAATAAGTTATATTTTAAAAAATAATAAAATGTTAAACTGAAAAAGAAAGTAATTGAAATAAAACAAATAATTAAATTACTTGCCAATTTAAAAAACCAAAAAAAAAATTAATTAAAAATATAGATGAAGAAGAAAATATTGATAGATTTTTACAATTTTTATTTTAATAATTTTCAAAGAAATGAAGAAAAAAAAAGAAGTTTAAAAAAAATTAACATTATATGATATTTCATTACAGCCTGCTAAAAGACGCAAGTAAAGAGGTATAAATAGAAAGAAAGTTTTGCTTGCTGTAAGCCCTTATCACCATAATATAGATCAACACACCCTATGACACAAAACAATCGTTCAAATTAAGTTTGGTGTCTCTTTTACACAAAATAATTATCTTGAACATCATTTAGTTTATAATTTTCATGAAAACATAAATATCTCAATGGAATTTACACAATTCACTTTGTAAAATTGCGGAATAAATATATATTTTAAAAAAGTTGTTCCCAATTAAAAGCAGTAGTGATAAAGTCCACTAAATACAAATATAAAAATATGTGACATATTTTAGTTTAGCAGAGGAGTAATAACATTTAATTTAATTTAGCCCTATACAGTAGGTTAAAATGAATGAACTGGTTCTCACCTAATAGTCTGTATGGTAGATGAAGTAGAATTTATCTATTTTCTTTCACCGATGCATACGTAAGGACTTATGTTCTGAACACTACCCAGCTAACTCTACTTCCCTGCCTCAAGACAGGTACCCACTATAGCTGGGTGAACTCAGGCATTCCCTCTGCATTCATGCTCAGGTCATCCATTAACCAAGCCATCTCATTTAACTGAAGACTCATTGCACAAGCCTAACTAAACAGTGCACCTAACCCTAACTAAACAGTGCACCTAACCCTAACTAAACAGTGCACCTAACCCTAACTAAACAGTTCACCTAACCCTAACTAAACAGTGCACCTAACCCTAACTAAACAGTGCACCTAACCCTAACTAAACAGTGCACCTAACCCTAACTAAACAGTGCACCTAACCCTAACTAAACAGTGCACCTAACCCTAACTAAACAGTGCACCTAACCCTAACTAAACAGTGCACCTAACCCTAACTAAACAGTGCTCCAAACCATAACTAAGAATTGCAGTTAACCCTAAAGTTCTTATAAAACAGCCCAAAAAGTCCTTAAAATCAACATAAACCTTATGACTCATGTAAATTACGAATTCGTTTAACCCTATGACTCCTGTTAATAAATAATGCATTTAACCCTATGACTCCCGTCAATAAAAACGTCTTTAACCCTCCAACTCCTGCAAGTAATCACACGGATAAAGCTTTCTCCAAACCTTTTGAGGGATGAGATTGGCCATCTTACGGCTGGGTGTCTGTGACAGGGGTCGCTGGTTTTTCTGCTGCTCCGCCAGCCGTTCCATTCTCTTGACCTCCAGTTTTTTCTCCAGTTCCAGTACTGCGGAACTTTTGAACTGGGGTCCTGCAGGGGGCTTCGTCCTCCGGCTTTCTTCAAGTCTGTAACATTAATTTGAAAAATACAAACGGGTAGTTAATTTTATAAATCACTTCCCTCGAATCAAACTGTCAAATTTTCAAAAAAACGATGCATATTTTATACTAAAATAAGAGTAATTTAGAAATTTATATTAATCTAAAATTTTAAAATTTTTGATGAAGTATTCAAGATCTTTTAACATCATGTCATGTCATCATGTTTGCCTGTCGTCCCTACTGGGACATAGGCCGCTGACAAGAGCTTTCCAGACGTCTCTGTCCAGGGCTAGTCTCTCCAACTGTCCCCAGGTGTATCCAATCTTCTTGGTGTCTTCTTCCAGGTCACGTCTCCAGGTCTTTCTTGGTCTGCCTCTCTTCCTCCTGCCTTGTGGATTCCAGGTGAGGGCCTGTCTTGTTATGCTGGATACAGGCTTCCTGAGTGTGTGGCCAATCCATTTCCATTTTCTCTGGAGGATCTCTACTTCCACTGGCAGTTGATTTGTCCGTTGCCATAGAACATCATTTCTGATGGTTTTAGGCCAGCGAATTCGCAGGATCTTTCTGAGACATGCGTTTATAAATGATTGTATTTTCTTCTTATTTATAGCAGTTATTCTCCATGTCTCGGCTCCATAGAGTAAAACAGGTTTTACTAGTGTGTTGAAGATCCGGATTTTTATTCTAAGGGTTAAATCTCCCGAACCCCAAACATTTTTTAGTTGGTTGAAGACTGCTCTTGCCTTACCCGTCCTTATTTTTATGTCTGCTTCTGTCCCACCCTGCTTATCAACAATACTTCCAAGGTAGGTGAATCTATCCACTTCTTCTAGGGCTTCTTCTGCCAGTGTTATAGGGTTGTTGTTTGATGCATTGACTTTGAGAACTTTACTTTTCCCTCTGTGGATGTTCAGACCCAGGCTTGTAGAAAAATTTGCAACCCTGTTGGTTTTATCCTGCATTTGCTGTTGTGTGTGAGAAAGGAGGGCCAGGTCGTCAGCAAAGTCCAGGTCATCCAGCTGGCTCCACAATGTCCACTGTATACCGTTTCGCGTTTTCTCTGTTGACATCTTCATAACCCAGTCTATGGCCAGTAGGAACAGGAATGGTGAAAGTAGGCAACCCTGCCTTACTCCGGTCCGTACTGGGAAGGCCTCTGTAGTCTGTTGGCCATGCACTACTCTACATTTGAGACCTTCATATGAAGACATAATAATGTTGACTATTTTCTGTGGCACCCCGTAGTGTCTCAACAATTTCCACATTGACTGCCTATCCAGGCTATCAAAGGCCTTCTCATAGTCTATGAAATTAATGTAGAGAGATGAGTTCCACTCTTGGGTCTGTTCAATGATGATGCGCAGGGTAGCAATTTGGTCTATGCATGACCTTTCCTTCCTAAAGCCCGCCTGTTGATCTCGAAGCTGGGGATCTATGGCTTCCTTCATTCTGTTTAATAATATTCTGTTGAAGACTTTGCCTGGGATGGACAAAAGTGTTATCCCTCTATAGTTAGAGCATGCACTAAGATCGCCTTTCTTTGGAAGCTTTATGAGTAGTCCCTCCTTCCACTCCTCTGGTATTTGTTCATCTTCCCAGATTTTCTTGAAGAGTGTGTATAGTAGTGTGGTGCTAGTTTCTATATCTGCTGTCAGTGCTTCTGCCGGTATACCATCTATTCCTGGAGCCTTCCAATTTTTCAGCTGCTTTATAGCTCTATGTATCTCTTCTTTTGAAGGTGGGTTGCAGTCTATAGGGAGGTCACTTTCAGCTGGTGGTATGTCTTGCGTGCACTCTGGTGTTGGTCTATTCAGTAGTTCTTCAAAATGTTCTACCCATCTCTTCATCTGTCCTTCCGCATCAGGTATTGTCTTTCCATCTTTGGTTTTCACTGGCCTCTCTGGCTTACTGTACTTACCAGATATCTTCTTAATTGTATTGTACACGTCCCTAATATTACCATGGTACAGTGCTTCTTCCGCTTCTCTTGCCAGCAGTTCCAAATAGCTCCGTTTGTCTTTCCTTATGTGTTTCTTTACATTTTTGTTCGTTTCGGTGTATTCTTCCAGTGCTTTTAATTTCGTAGCCCGTGTGCGGCTGTTGTTTAATGTTGCCTTCTTTCTTTTTCTCTCTTCAATAATTTTCATGGTATCTGCTGATATCCATTCCTTCGCTTGTCCTTTGATAGGGCCTAGCACTTCTTCGCATGTTGATGTTAATATACTTTTAGTTTTTTCCCATGTTTCCTCTATCGTCTCTTCTTCTATTAGTTCTTGTAGTACCTGGAACCTATTGGACATATGAAGTTTAAATTCGTTGAGTTTAGATGGGTCCTTTAGCAGGCCTGTGTTGTACCTGTATTTCCTTTTGTTTTCCAACATGTTTTTCTTCAGCTTGAGTTTTACTTTAGCTACCAGTAGGTGATGGTCTGAAGCAACATCAGCTCCTCTCTTGACGCGTACATCCTGAAGTGATCTCCTGAACTTTTTTATGATACATATATGGTCTATCTGGTTTTCTGTAGATAGGTCGGGTGATACCCAAGTAGCTTTATGTATCCTTTTGTGATGAAAGAGACTACCTCCAATGACTAAATTATTTGTGGCACACAAGTCAGCAAATCTTTCTCCGTTTTCGTTCATCTCACCTAAACCCTGCTGTCCCATACATTCTTCATATCCTCTGTTGTCGCTTCCAATCTTAGCATTGAAGTCGCCCATGAGTATAAGGATGTTTCTTCTTGGGCGGTTCTGGATAATGGTCATTAGCCTGTTGTAGAATTCGTCTTTGTCCTCCTCTTTGCTGTCATTTGTTGGGGCGTAGGCCTGTATTATGTCCATGTTTATTCGTCTTATTTTAGTTTTAAAGGTAGCTGTTATGATCCGCGGGCAGTGTGCCTCCCATCCGATGAGAGCCCTTTGTGCTTGATTTGATAGCATGAGTGCAACTCCTTGAGTATGTGGTGCATTTTCATCCTCATGACCTGAGTACAGCAGTAGCTCTCCTGTTATCAGCCTTTTTTGTCCTGAGCCAGTCCACCTTGATTCGCTGACACCCAGGATAGCTATTTTATAGCGTCTCATTTCTGCTGCTACTTGGGTTGCTTTTCCAGCTTCGTACATCGTGCGGACATTCCAAGCTCCAATATTGATGGTGGTCCTAGTGGAAATAATGGTGGTCGACCTGGTAGTTTCCAATACATATTGGCTTTCACCACCCGGCTTCATAAATTCTCCATCGGGAGATCCATTTTTCCCCTGGTCCGAGCTGTCTGCGTTTCTGTAGCGGGTAATTTGTTTTACGAGATAAGGTTGCTTACCTTATGCTCAACCCCCAACCTGGAGGACCAGGATGCTAGCTTTCGTCTGACCCCTACCCGCGCAGACCTTCCCAGCTTGGTTGAACCTGCCAGGAGTTAACACTCCCGCTGGTATAGCTCTGGGGGTCGTCAGGGTACGCAAGCTGCCAAGCCACGACAAGGCCCTAGCACCAGATGACAGATCTTTTAACAAGGGAAACTAATTCAGTTTGGAAAGTTATCAAAGAGAAATGAGATTGTTTCCCCTTACTTGAGTGCAGCAGCTCTGGTCTGTTCTGATCTGTGTTTGGCTATCATGTCCAGTGTGTCAGACAGGTACTCAGCCTTGGCCTGCAAGCATGTCCAGATGATGTGACATATGTATGACATACATATACAAGATACATTATGTACAATATGTTATGTACAATATACATTATGTACAATGTGTTATGTACAAGATACATTATGTACAACATGTTATGTACAAGATACATTATGTACAGCATGTTATGAACAAGATACATTATGTACAACATGTTATGTACAAGATACATTATGTACAGCATGTTATGTACAAGATACATTATGTACAATGTGTTATGTACAAGATACATTATGTACAATGTGTTATGTACAAGATACATTATGTACAACATGTTATGTACAATATACATTATGTACAACATGTTATGTACAATATACATTATGTACAATGTGTTATGTACAAGATACATTATGTACAATGTGTTATGTACAAGATACATTATGTACAACATGTTATGTACAATATACATTATGTACAACATGTTATGTACAATATACATTATGTACAATGTGTTATGTACAAGATACATTGTGTAGAACGTGTTATGTACAAGATACATTATGTACAATGTGTTATGTACAAGATACATTATGTACAACATGTTATGTACAAGATACATTATGTACAATGTGTTATGTACAAGATACATTATGTACAACGTGTTATGTACAATATACATTATGTACAACGTGTTATGTACAATATACATTATGTACAACATGTTATGTACAATATACATTATGTACAATGTGTTATGTACAAGATACATTGTGTAGAACGTGTTATGTACAAGATACATTATGTACAATGTGTTATGTACAAGATACATTATGTACAACATGTTATGTACAAGATACATTATGTACAATGTGTTATGTACAAGATACATTATGTACAACGTGTTATGTACAATATACATTATGTACAACGTGTTATGTACAAGATACATTATGTACAATGTGTTATGTACAAGATACATTATGTACAATGTGTTATGTACAAGATACATTATATGTACAAGATACATTATGTACAACATGTTATGTACAAGATACATTATGTACATGTTATGTACAAGATACATTATGTACAACATGTTATGTACAAGATACATTATATGTACAAGATACATTATGTACAACATGTTATGTACAAGATACATTATATGTACAAGATACATTATGTACAACATGTTATGTACAAGATACATTATGTACAACATGTTTTGTACAAGGCACACTTATGTACAAGATATGCTATAAACTTCTTCTTCTTCTTTTTCTTTGTTCTTAATTTTAGTGTTAGAAGGTACTCCCTACAACACAATCAAGTATACGTGTCAACTGGTTATTCGCCATTGAGGCCATTGACTCCAATTTCAGCCTGCTTTCCTTTTTGGATTTGCTTCCATAGCCTATGTTCAACCAAGAACAAACTACAAGGCAGAAGTTGTTTGATTTTGGAGTAGTCTATGCTAGAGGAGTGGCTGTCCCCAGCTAACGAGACTCATCTGCCCAGGGGTTCAAACTCGAGACTTTTTGGTTTTGCAACCATGAGCTTTACTGACTCAATTATGCCAACCCATGCTATGAACAATATATACAGTTTTAGATAAATGTGCATCAAAGACAAAGTAATATGAAATCTATTCCATTTAAAAATTATCAGTAAACTTTAGTAGAAGCTAACAAACCACTTTTAGTCATCTGTTCATCATGAACAAACTAGATAGAACCAAACAAACATGGAATTAATTAAGTTTGACACCTTTAGGCACCTTTTCACCATTGTTTACCTGCTTAGCGTTGAGTATAATGTCTCTTTTAATTTCCTCGTCTTCTTTATTCTGTGCCTTCAACAATGCCAGTCTCTCCCTCAACTGTTTGACAAATAAATGTCACAATTTTTTTTTATCAACCTTCCATGTTATTTTAAAGTCCCAAAAATTTTTAATTATTTTTCTTAATGTGCGACTTATAATTTGACAATTTATTTTTCTAATTAACCTATCTAGCTAGATAAAAAATACATGTCACAATTCCTTTTTATAATTAACTTTTTTGCTATGCGACAAATAGATGTCATATTTATATATGTAAATTATAAATTATACACATATTGTAAAGCAATTCACTACCTTTATAAAGATTTAATGATAAAAAAAAAAACAACTTAGTTTCACTGATATTCAATAATTAATCCATATTTTGAACAACACACTGGTGCCTACCTCTAGGATACTCATCTCATTGAGCAGGCCCATCCCTGAGGTAGCAGCCAAGTCCACCATCTTGACCCGATTAACTGGTGTAGACTCCATCACTCTGATCTGCTGGATCAGCTCCATCTTACACCTCATTTCAGCCTCGGCCTGGTGGGAGTTAGGAGAGGAGTTTGTACAAAATTAGAAGGAGTTTGTACAAAATTAGAAGGAGTTTGTACAAAATTAGAAGGAGTTTGTACAAAATTAGAAGGAGTTTGTACAAAATTAGAAGAGGAGTTTGTACAAAATTAGAAGGAGTTTGTACAAAATTAGAAGGAGTTTGTACAAAATTAGAAGAGGAGTTTTTACAAAATTAGAAGGAGTTTGTACAAAATTAGAAGGAGTTTGTACAAAATTAGAAGGAGTTTGTACAAAATTAGAAGAGGAGTTTGTACAAAATTAGAAGGAGTTTGTACAAAATTAGAAGGAGTTTGTACAAAATTAGAAGAGGAGTTTTTACAAAATTAGAAGGAGTTTGTACAAAATTAGAAGGAGTTTGTACAAAATTAGAAGAGGAGTTTTTACAAAATTAGAAGGAGTTTGTACAAAATTAGAAGGAGTTTGTACAAAATTAGAAGAGGAGTTTGTACAAAATTAGAAGGAGTTTGTACAAAATTAGAAGGAGTTTGTACAAAATTAGAAGAGGAGTTTGTACAAAATTAGAAGAGGAGTTTGTACAAAATTAGAAGAGGAGTTTGTACAAAATTATGAGAGGAGTTTGTACAAAATTATAAGAGGATTAGAAGAGGAGTTTGTACAACATTAGAAGAGGATTAGAAGAGGAGTTTGTACAACATTAGAAGAGGAGTTTGTACAAAATTAGAAGAGGAGTTTGTACAAAATTAGAAGAGGAGTTTGTACAAAATTATGAGAGGAGTTTGTACAAAATTAAAAAAGGAGTTTGTACAAAATTATAAGAGGAGTTTGTAAAAAAATTATAAGAGGAGTTTGTACAAAATTATAAGAGGAGTTTGTACAAAATTATAAGAGGATTAGAAGAGGAGTTTGTACAACATTAGAAGAGGATTAGAAGAGGAGTTTGTACAACATTAGAAGAGGAGTTTGTACAAAATTAGAAGAGGAGTTTGTACAAAATTAGAAGGAGGTTGTACAAAATTATAAGGAGTTTGTACAAAATACACTTTATTTTCCTTGCGGAGCTTAACTATACACAACCATTGTAATTTTTTTGTTTGTAAACCAGTTAAAAGCAGGAATTTTTTTCTTAACCTTGAATTCATTTTTTTTTAACAATACAAACTTTTACATAATTTTACAAATATTAAACCCAAATAATAAAAAAATTAGCCTACTGGAATACTAGGTCTATTATTGTTACAATAACAACAATAATTCAAATGATATTTATCTCAATCAGTGAGATAATGAAATAAAAACAAAAATGGCCCCCAGTAATTGGCCATCTAATTACCTCCTCTAGGGCTTGCCTCATTAATTCTCTGCTCTCTTCTGTCACTTCTTGCACTGTAACAAGAAATGTGAAAACAATTTGTTTCAGTATAGCCAATATGTCTATATTCTGTGAAATATTACCCAAAAACAACAACAATTGTGAAAATTATATGTTTCAGTTTAGCCTACATGTTTCTACTGTATCACTTCTTGCACTGAAAGAAACCAACAGTGTGAAAATAATTTGATCCTCAACATGCTTCTACTCTGAGATGTACTGCACTAAAACAAAATATGTGAAAATCATTTGATCCTCTATAGCCAACATTATATATTTCTTGCACTAAAAAAAAAAAAAAAAAAAAATGTAAATAATTTTTCTATATCACATATGCTGATATTTTAGAAGACATGGGCTATTCTATGCAGGACTTTATTGATCCCTTAGAGACGCATCACCATTCAGAACTTTACATAGCTTACCTATCTGTCTTTTGTACTCTTTTAATTTCTTTTTGGCTTCTTTTGCATTTTTGTGCCCTGCCATTGTATTCTCAACCAGCGTTCTGGGAGTCAGAGAAATAAAGTAAATTTTAATTAGAAATTTTGATTAAATAATTAATAACTAATAAAACTAATATATGTTTGAATGTGAAAAAAAAACATACAATTTAAAATCCATAATCTATTTCATATTTTTTAGTTTAGTCATTACAATTGTGTTTGAAAAATGTATTCCAAAACAAAATTATAAAAAACATTTACAAAAGTAAATTAAAAAGTTGTCTAGGTGAAAGGAAAACATGATGGAAGCCAACAAAACAAACTGATCAAATAATTTATTCAGCCAAGTCTGAGAGAAAATTTTCAATTTCAAATTTTAAAATAACTTTTTAAAAAAATATTCAAACTTTTGTCAAAAAAAAAACAACAGCAATTACTTTAATTTAAGAGGATTTTTCTTCTAATTGCTACTGCTTCAAAGCCTCTAAGGTAAAAATTAAAATTCGATCACCAGCATTAATTACCTCATTTCCTGTTCCTCTTTAAACTTTTTATCCAGGTATTCCCTCATGATTTCCGCAGACTGAAGCAACAAAACAGGCCGTTAGAAAATACAAATCTAACACAATGTAGCTTGTAAAATAATGGAGGGTTTACAATTTATTTTGAAAATATTTTCCACCCAAGTGTAACAAATTTATTGAACTTAACTATGTTTTAACTGAATCAAAACTGCACATTTTAAAAATAAAACATTATAGAATAAATTTTAAAATTTTTTTAAAAATTTAATATTTTTTGTATAAGTGTTACCCTGTGTATGGTTTATACGAGTTTATGATTATAATCCTAAATGAATTCAAATATTACTGATACAGTTGCACTAGCTTATGATTATAATTCTAAAAGAGTTCAAATATCACTAGCACGGTTGCACTAGCTTATGATTATAACACTAAAAGTGCTAAAATTGAGTTCAAAAAGAAAATTCTGATTTTAATCAGACAAGAGTTTAGATAGAAATGAGAATTACAAAAAATGAGAGATAAGACATAAATTAAAACAAGGCTGAGCACTTAATGGGAGCATGTTGCAAAACTATGATGGTTTGTATAGTTTCAACATAAAGACCAGTAAAGTAAAGGAAAAGTACATTTCTTTACCAAAAGGGAAGTAATAGAGCATGTATCAATATACAGATGTACATATCAGCTGTAGCCAGAGACAAAAGCTAAAAGGTGGGTGTGGTGATGTAATGTGTATGAAAGGTGTGTACTTGGGATGGATGACAATGTGTGTGTTTATATCCTGTAGAGAGATGGCCAGGTGTTTTGACGTGTATGTTGTTGTACGGAGTGAACGAGGGTACAAGGGAAGCGACTGGTCAAGTGACAGCTGGTGTGATGTGAGCAGGAGAAAGAAGGTGGGTTGGGATGAATGCGGAGGGCAGTTGAATGTTGGGGTGAAAGTAGATAGGTTGTTGTAGAACTGGAAAGGAGATTGAGGAAAATAAAAGAGAATGTTATACCTAGCCTTAATGTGTTATTAGTGTTTTCTATGAGATTCCTGATGCCCTCACTGTGGGGTTCTGACAGGGATTGGTTAAAGAAATCCTGGAGGACAGTAGAAGATGAGGCAAGGGCTGACAGGCTTACATGGGCACACAAAAAAAGGACGCTCAATGGACAGTTGTAGTTGCAGCACTTAGCTTCTCAGGGGGACACAAAGGAGTAAGTCAAGTTAAGTCTGACAAGGGATAATGTGATAGGTCCTCCCCTGATAATGAACCCAGCACAACTCATGTGATAGGTCCTCCCCTAATAATGAACCCAACCCATGTGATAGGTCCTCCCCTAATAATAAACCCAACCCATGTGATAGGTCCTCCCCTAATAATAAACCCAGCACAACCCATGTGATAGGTCCTCCCCTAATAATGAACCAATCACAACTCACCTCCTTCTTAATGGTCTGAACGCGGGCTTGGTTCTCAGCCATGACATTGGCTCGAGCCAGGATGGCCTCCTCGTGGCTCAGCTTTCCCATGAGCCGCCGCTCCTCTACCGCCATCAGCTGCCACTCTGTGTCCTTCTGCTTCATCTCTGTCTGCCACTTGTTGAAGAAAGTGTCGTCATAGGAACCAGCCTCCAGCTTCCTCAGCCTAGCCAATCAAAAGTTGTCACACAGTTAAGTCAGTCAGCCTAGCCAATCAGAAGTTGTCATACAGTTAAGTCAGTCAGCCTAGCCAATCAGAAGTTGTCATACAGTTAAGTCAACAAGTCAGCCTAGCCAATCAGAAGTTGTCATACAGTTAAGTCAATCAGTCAGCCTAGCCAATCAGAAGTTGTCATACAGTTAAGTCAATCACTGATAGCAAATACATTTGCTAAACAGTAAACATTGCATGAAAAATCATGCAATAAAAAGTTTATGTTTGCATTGAATGTTAAGCAGAGTTAACAATCAGTGATTTTCACACCATTGCTTTTAATCAGCAGTTCAAGTTTGTGGGGGGAAAAAGGTTTTGAAAAATATTATCCAAGTTTTTGTGCCCTTTAGGTTTTTTAAATCTATACATTCTAGCAGTAAAATCAAGTTTAAAAGATCAGTGACAGGTTTACATTGTAAACAGGTTCTCTTACTTTTCCATGACTTCATTTTCTTGTTTTTGGTACAGAAGAGCTTCCCTCATAATGGCTGCAGCTGTCATTTTCACAGGGGCCACATTACTTTTCTGAAACAAAACAATGTGAAAACACTTCAGAAAAAAAAAACATAAACAAACTAACTAAAAAAATTCTGTTTTACAATTTTTCTGTTTTAACTACCACACTAATACTTAAAATCTTGAACATACTTAAAGGGCAACTTATAATCTTTCGGAATAGAGTTAGAAATATTTATTTATAAAACTTTTTGATAGATTTTGATACTCAACATAATTTTTATTCTTTTAAAATACTTTAATTTTCAATATCAAACAAATTAATCAAAATCATAATCATTTAAATTAAATATTTACATCAACATGTCTCCTAACCTTTTAAAACAAAATACTTTTATTTTTTTTTAAACAAAAAGTACATCAACATCACATTATATCAAATGTTTACTAAACAATGCCACAAAAGAGTTAACTTTGGTGAGTTTAACCATGAAATTTAGAAAATTTAAGTGGTTGGAAGATGTCCAAGACTCCAAAATTAATTAAACGTAGTTAACAATGGAGTTTAGGTTGAAAAGAGATCAAACTCTCTTAAATTTAAAAGTTTGACTATTGCAGAATATTTCTGTTATCAAATACAGGCTAAACAGCACCAAGTTTTAAAACAAATTATAAATTAACACTATATTGACTTTTGTTCTTTTATACCTTATTGACAATTTAAATTTGGTTTTAACAAGGTCGGAACACATTAAATGAGAATGTCACATGTAATTATAGGCCTTATTCACAATAATCTCCCTTGGAACAATAACAAAAATTATCAGGATAAATCTATGTTGAATGTTGCATAAATTATTTTTTAATTAACAGTTTATAATACTGTCTTTACTTGATTGAATGTAGATTTTTATAGCATATAAACACAAATATTTAGATAATTATTCCTGTTGTGTATACTAATTTAAATTTAGAATTTATAATAGTGTTTTCACTTGATTAAATGTAGATTTTTATAGCATACTAGTCGACCCGCAGCATATCATACGCCGCTATTTAGTTGTTTTATTTTCTACTTTTCAGTAATTCATAATTTGTGAATTCGACAGTACCAATGCTGCCACTGAAAATATTTGCTTTAAAACACTACCCCACCCCTTTCCCCCAACCCCAAGTGGGTGGTAGTGATAGTGAGGAAGAGAGGGGACTGCAAGGCGTGTTTTGCAGCTTGTTTTCTAACGTCTCCCAGAAGAGAATTATATATATAGATAAAACACAATGATCTTGATAATTAGGGCTCACAAAAGTTGGGGGACAGAGCATAGTTTTTTCATTAATGGTGGGCAGAGCGTATTATTGCTCAACTTTAAGTCTCAAATTGAGATTGATTCTATAACATATATCTTAGCCCACAATAGCTGATAAGGGGTCGTCCATAAATAACTTCACATTGGTAGGGGGAGGGGGTCCGTAATTTTGTGACGGTGTGTGATGAGGGGGAGGGGGGGGGTTCAGATGGTGTGACGTCACTTTTTTGCATTATAAAAAAGCAATGTTAGAAAACGAGTTTTAGCCGTTATTTCGCATTTTGGAAAACGGTTATTAATAAATTGTAATAAGAATGTATCAAAATACCTGACAGAGTTCAGTCAAAATTTTGAAAAGATATCAATGTTTTAAGAAAAATTCAACAGCAATTTTGAGGGAGGTTATAGGCTGAGGAGTGATATCATTTTGGGGGGGAGGGGGGGGGGGTGGCTTTTTGTAACCATGTGTGACGGAGGGTAGAGGTAAAAATCGTCAAAAAAAAAATGAGCACAGCGCTGAACACAAAAATGCTGCATGTGTTGAACCCTACCTCATTTGCTCTATGGATGGTTAAAAGTGAACTAAGCTTTTCACTTTAATGTGTCTTCACAAAATACAACTGAAGATGTTCTCAACTTACAAAGTCTGGGAGAGGTCTAGCTTTGATCCTGTTGGGATCAACTTTATACAACTGAAGATGTTCTCAACTTACAAAGTCTGGGAGGGGTCTGGCTTTGATCCTGTTGGGGTCAACTTTAGCATTCTCATTGGCAACAATGTCCTCCAGTATCTGCTTGGTTTTTTCTGTCTTTTCATTGTTGGCGCAGGCAAACTGGATCTTGGAGGAGTCCATCAGTAGATCCTGACATAAGCAAAGTATAATTTGTCTTACATTTTTTTACAGTAATTCTTCTTCTTCTTCATTCTAAATTAAAATATTGAAGGGGATTTCCTTCAACACAATAAAGTAAAGTATAATTTGTCTTACATTTTATTACAGTAATTCTTCTTCTTCTTCATTCTAAATTAAAATATTGAAGGGGATTTCCTTCAACACAATAAAGTAAAGTATAATTTGTCTTACATTTTATTACAGTAATTCTTCTTCTTCTTCATTCTAAATTAAAATATTGAAGGGGATTTCCTTCAACACAATTAAGTAAAGTATAATTTGTGTTACATTTTATTACAGTAATTCTTCTTCTTCTTCATTCTTAATTAAAATATTGAAGGGGATTTCCTTCAACACAATAAAGTATAGCATAATTTATGTTACATTTTATTACAGTAATTCTTTTTCTTCTTCTTCATTCTTAATTAAAATATTGAAGGGGATTTCCTTCAACACAATAAAGTATAGTATAATTTGTCTTACATTTTATTACAGTAATTCTTCTTCTTCTTCATTCTAAATTAAAATATTGAAGGGGATTTCCTTCAACACAATTAAGTAAAGTATAATTTGTGTTACATTTTATTACAGTAATTCTTCTTCTTCTTCATTCTTAATTAAAATATTGAAGGGGATTTCCTTCAACACAATAAAGTATAGTATAATTTATGTTACATTTTATTACAGTAATTCTTTTTCTTCTTCTTCATTCTTAATTAAAATATTGAAGGGGATTTCCTTCAACACAATAAAGTATAGTATAATTTGTCTTACATTTTATTACAGTAATTCTTCTTCTTCATTCTTAATTAAAATATTGAAGGGGATTTCCTTCAACACAATTAAGCAAAGTATAATTTGTGTTACAATTTATTACAGTAATTCTTCTTCATTCTTAACTAAAATATTGAAGGGGATTTCCTTCAACACAATTAGGCAAAGTATAATTTGTCTTACATTTTATTATAGTAATTTTTCTTCTTCTTCATTCTTCATTAAAATATTGAAGGGGATTTCCTTCAACACAATAAAGTATAGTATAATTTGTCTTACATTTTATTACAGTAATTTTTCTTCTTCATTCTTAATTAAAATATTGAAGGGGATTTCCTTCAACACAATTAAGCAAAGTATAATTTGTGTTACAATTTATTACAGTAATTCTTCTTCATTCTTAACTAAAATATTGAAGGGGATTTCCTTCAACACAATTAGGCAAAGTATAATTTGTGATACATTTTATTACAGTAATTTTTCTTCTTCTTCATGCTTAATTTAAATATTAAAAGGGGATTTCCTTTAACACAATTAAGTAAAGTATAATTTGTGTTGCATTTTATTACAGTAATTCTTCTTCTTCTTCATTCTTAATTTAAATATTGAAGGGGATTTCCTTCAACACAATTAAGTATTATTTGTCAATTAAGCAAAGTATAATTTGTGTTACAATTTATTACAGTAATTCTTCTTCATTCTTAACTAAAATATTGAAGGGGATTTCCTTCAACACAATTAGGCAAAGAGTAATTTGTGATACATTTTATTACAGTAATTTTTCTTCTTCTTCATACATTATTTAAATATTAAAAGGGGATTTCCTTTAACACAATTAAGTAAAGTATAATTTGTGTTGCATTTTATTACAGTAATTCTTCTTCTTCATTCTTAATTTAAATATTGAAGGGGATTTCCTTCAACACAATTAAGTATTATTTGTCAACCTGGTATGTGCGCAGTTGGCTAGGATTTCAGCCTGCTTTTCTTTTTGGGTTTGCTTCCATAGCCTTTGTCCAACCAAGAACAAACTAAAAGGCAGAAGTTGTTTGATTTTTGAGTTGTCTCTCCTAGAAGAGTGGCTGTCCCCCTCTTTCGAGCCTCATCTGCCCGAGGGTTTGAACTCGAGACTTTTTGGTTTAGCAACCATGAGCTTAAATGACCCGACCACTAAGTAATGATTGTGTTACATTTTGTTACAGTTTACAGCAGTTAAAAAAAAAGACTATAGAGAATAAATGTGATGTAAACCTCTGCCTGTCTCCTGTTTTCCTCCCGCTGTTTGGCCAACATTTCCTGCAGTAGTGGAGGCTTGTACAAAGAGGGGGGAGGCGGCTTGGATTTCATTAACTTGGGAATCTGGTAAAAAGCAAATACACAGGTAACAGCAGACCCACACAGACTGCACTCTAAAAAATTTAAAATGATCATCTAAATAAATAATTAATTTTAAGATTTTTACATAAGCATTCTTTGAGAAAAGATGATTATTTACTCTTTACATAAGTAAATATTAAAATATGTTAAGAGTTAAAAATCACATCATTTGTAACTATTAAAATGTAATTAATCGTTGTAGGTTATGATAAATGATGAAAAACTATAAACACTAGACTAACTTTGTTTGGAATCGGAATAGATCTTGGTCTCGGCTTTGTTAGGTTGAAGGGTTTGACTTCTGTTGTAATAAAAGAAAAAAAAGTTTCAAAGAATTAAAATGTTTTTAAAAATAGCAAGTAATTTACTGTACTACAGATGATATTATACTTGTTATGTAGATCCAACCAAGTGCTTGTTTAGTGGTTGTGTTTTATAGTTTTAACTGGGGACTGTATTGTCCTTGTGGTATTTTATAATAAGATTAGTGTTACAGGTATGAGTGTAAGTGGCTATAAACATATCCTTGACATTTGTATTTTTAACACGTTTTTATTAACTCAGCTTCGCGTGGATGTGTTTGTTGTTAAAATTGACATCGAAAATTAGCCCACTTCTGATTGCTCTATAGATCTGAAATTTGGCATGCAGGTTACTTTCGCCTAACAATTTCAGATGCAATCATAAAAACTAGCAATTAGAAACCGTAATTAGCTTAATTTAATTACGCCCAAAGGACCATAAAATTGAGGACATGATTTCTAAAGATACCGACAAGACTGGAGGCTTGTTGACACAGTTACTTCGGCCCCAATCGATGTGAGCGCGCTGGCCGTGATCGTATAGTGGTTAGTACTTCGCGTTGTGGCCGCGACAACCCAGGTTCGAATCCTGGTCGCTCAAGATTTTTTTAGTCCGTGTATTTATAAACACTTAGTCAATTCATACTTAATCAAGTCATTAGATAAAGTAGAAAATAAACTATATAAAAAACTTTTTTAAAAACCACGTTTTTCATGTGTAGCAACGGACTAAAAAGGAGAAAATAAAATACTTAAAAAAAAAACTTTTTAAAAAACCACGTTTTTCTTGTGGACTAAAAAGTAGAAAATAACTATTTACATACATTTGATGACAAAAAACGTGGGTCGGGCAGATGGGTCGGGAAATTTGATGGTGAACGTACCCACGTTTTTTGTCATCAAATGTATGTAAATAGTTATTTTCTACTTTTTAGTCCACAAGAAAAACGTGGTTTTTTAAAAAGTTTTTTTTTAAGTATTTTATTTAATAAATTATTTTAGTGTGAGTATCCAGCAGTACGTGAGGTGGTTTTATAAAATGGTACATGCACTCTTGTCTAAAGAGAGCTGGACTGCGAACCCGTTAGTCTCAAGTTCGAATCCGGGTTCAAGTCAGTAGACCGTCCCTGAGTCCACCCAACTCTGATGGGTACCTAACTCACGTTAGGGAAAGTAAAGGCGGCTGGGCATAGTGCTGACCACACTATCTCATCATATGCCAAGGTCACAGAAACAAGTGAACTCTATTTCACTTGCCCCATAGACCGTCAGGTTTGAAAGGGAAACTTTACTTTACTCTTGTCTAAATATTTAATTAAGGGGTGCCATCTAGGGCGGTGGCCAACACAAAAGTTGGCTGGATTCAGAGGCATAGCGACCCTTCCCGGTGCCCGGGGACAAAATTTCAATTTGGCGCCCTCTCTGGAGCAAATTTTCGCAAACTGCAAAAATGCAGCTAAAGTGACATTTTTATTTGTTTTTACAACCCACATGTGTCCCCCCCTGCCCCCCCCCCCCCCCCCCCCCATCGCTACGCCTCTGGCTGGATTATGTACTTGGCCTTCATTCTTAACTTAAGGCAACTACGCTATACACATAATAATGTTCAGTTTCTTTGTATTCAACTTAGCTATTCACACAATTAATTTTGTTTGTTTTAATTAGAGAACTACCTTATTCGCACAGCTATAACTCTTACCTGTCACCTGGACTGGTGGTTTTTTGGGTTTGAGTTTATTATCAATTTTATTTTTCATCAACTTCAACAGATCTTTCAGTTCTGGAATCCATCTGGTGATAGAATTTTCAAGTTTAAAAAAGAATTCAACATTTTTTTCAACTTGTGTGAAAATTATAGGATTTAGGCCTACATATTTACTCTATTATACAGCCTGCTGTTAAGTTAAAATAACACTGTTAAAATTGGGTTTAATACAAATGTATGGGTTATGGCGGCTGAGTGGTTGGTCACAAGCATATAACTTAAAGGCTGGTGATACAGCAATTTAAAACTCAACAACTAGGGAAAATCCCTGAGCCTATCCAGCAATGTTGGGTACCCAACCCTCAAGTCATGAAAATCAGACCACACAATCCGTAACATCAGGCAGGATCTACTTGATCTACCTTCTTGACTTGAAGATTGAAACAAACTTTAGTTTTAAACTTATATTAGTTTCATGTTCAATGAAATTCTTCCCCACCTCTGTAATGGGGACAGTATGTTTGTTTGAACATAGGCTGACTCATAAATCAAATTCCAGCTGTCTTTCATCCATGTTGCCAGACTTTTCTCGTCAAACATGAAGTTCAAGAACTGGAATACACAAGACAAATACAATTTATCAATAGCATGGCAACATTGTATATATTATTGACATAATATCAAACACTATCTAAACTAATTATAGGTCTGCTATAATACATTAACCATTTCAAAAAAGAAATCAGAAAACATGAAATTTATATACAAAATAATAGCTAAATATATCACATCAAAAACATGTGAATTTTCATAAAATTAATTTACTTAATTTTGTTTTACACTTTGCAAATGCGTAAGTAATAAATTAAATTTAATATATTTGTTATTTGTTGGGAATTTTAACAAAATTTAGAATCAAGTGCTTTAATTAAGACTGCAGATGTTAAAAAGACTTACCTTAAAGGCAGTATTTATATCCAGCGCACTAATAAACTTTCTGAAGTGAGACACCCCCAGTTCATCCAGACGAAACAAGGCTAGATATGCTATCACTGGTGATAACATTTCAAGTTCAATTAGCATAAATTATGTTTTATACTCACAGCATAGATGGTTATAGTTAGAGAAAATCATAGCTCTGTATCACAGTTTCATTTGCAGGCTTCCTTTCATTAAATTTAGATTAGTATACAACATGCATGGGATAACATGGTTAAATGGTAGAGCATCCAACTGCTAACATGAAAGTCTCAAGTTTGAATCTGGGTTCAAGTTGGCAGAATGTCCTTTAGTACACCCAGCTCTGATGGTTACCTGACTCACATTAAGGAAAGAAAAGGTGGCTGGGCATAGTGCTGACTTCACTAACCCTTCGAATGCTGAGGTCACAGTAGCATATTATTTCTACTTCACTTGCAAGGTTCAAAAGGGAACTTTACCTACTTAAATAACATACTACAATGTTTTAGAAATATATCTATAATAATATATACAAAGAATTAGCATTTAAAATGGTATCCGATATTTTTAGAAAAATTAAAAAAACTTTTAGAGTTTTATTAACACAAAGTTTTTAAGGAGTAAATATTTTCTATGAAAGAAGTAACACAGTAAAACAGGCTTTTCGTCCAATAATGTATGAAAAGTGACTTAATTTAATGAATAGCATTCATACGATTATCAAAGAGCTATCTCACCAATAAACATATTCTGCGTTGATCTCAGTATATTCCGTCCATCTTGAGAGTAGAACCCATCAACAACAACATTCATGACAGCCTTGTGTCTTACGCACCCAGTAAAAACTTCTTTGATAAAAATCACATCATCATCATCCAGTATCTGAAATATTGCATACATCAATAAATAACATTGGGTAACAATCAAAAGCGCTTTAAATACTTAATAATATACCTCAATTAAGTTGGCGTTAGATCTTTCATAATGTACAACATTTCTATGAAATATATAAATGTTATGGTCTATAGATTGCCCATAAGAGTTTGTTTTAAGGGTAGGCTAGTTGTGAGATTTTAGGTCCAATAAACTCTTGCAACCATGTTTGTAGACCTGCATTTGGTAAACTAATTCATTAATAAAAAGTACTCTTTCAAACCTTACAGTCTATGGAGCAGTGAAGCAAACTTCACCTATTTCTATGACCTAAGCATATGAAAGATAGTGTGTACAGCACTATGCCCAGCTGCCTTTCTTTTCCTTAACATGAGTTAAATACCCATCACAGCTGGGTGGACTGAAGGATAGCCTACGGACTGCTACCAGTATTCAAAATGGAGACTTTAGAGTTAGCAGAGAGTTAGCAGCCGAAGGCTCTACCACTTGACCATCGTTCCCCCTTTAAAACAGTTATATTTATTTATTTAAAAATAAAAAAATAAAACAAGCACCCTGTTCTCAGAGAGATACCCATCCACATGCTCATCTACCCCTGTAGTTTCAGCATCATAGAGGTCTAAAAGCCTGGCACAGTGTGTGATAAGCTGCTGGTGTTTAGCATCCATAGTGAGAGTAGGACATCAAGGTGACACAACGAATAATGGCTGGTGAAACAAGCACACATAGAACATATATCAGTGACACAAAAATCTATATAGGACATCAAAGTTAAACAACGAATATTGGATTTTTAGTAGGCCTAATCTATATATTGAAGCAATACCATTGTAGTTAACATTATTAAAATTACCACCAAATTTATCAATATATTAGTCTATATCAGTCAAGTGTTTTAAAAAGAACCACCTAATATAAAAAAATAACATCATTTACATAATTATATGTTTTAGAGCCTGTAAAAACAGTATTTGAAAAATTGAAAACTCTCTGTAACCTCCAACTAAAACTGTTTATGAATATTCATGATGCGTTTTTCAATGAATAACAATCTTTAATGAATTGAAGACAGTTTGGAAGTCAAAGTGAATCCCCTTAGTACCATACAAAACAAACGATTCATAGTCAAGTAGTAACTAATTACCATTAATGGTGAGATGATGATTTAAATATAAACCACTGGACTAGGAAATGGTAAACATACCAACATTAAACTATGGCATGGTACTTTAAAGCAAAAATATAGATTATGGCATACAAAATTTATAAGCTAAGGTTTATTTCACTTTGAAAATAATGATTTAACTTTTTTCAAGAATCGATTATAAAGTAACAAAGACAAACTTGTAACTGTTTCAACATAAAACAAGAATAAAAACCAGAACTTGGGTGTCAAAATCATAACATAAAAGGCCGATTCTAGTCGGAATAAGACACGCTTGCGATACGCATGCGCAATGGAGAGAAACTACGACTTAGCGGCGATGTTTTCGATGGTACTGCGCATGCGTGTGTTTACAACCGCAGAACCCTAATACCAACCCTAATCCTATCCTTAACCTATCCCTAATCCTATCCCTAACCCTAACCCTAACCCTAGCCCTAATCCTATCCCTAACCTTAGCCCTAATCCTATCCCTAACCCTATCCCTAATCCTACCCCTAACCCTCATTCTAGCCCTAACCCTAGCCATAGGTCACTGCGCATGCGCAGAACTATCTTTTGCCGAAAAATCTTATTCCGAGTAGACACTTCGAACATAAAAACATGGAGAACATTTAAAAAGTAAAAAGTCAAGTGCATCTGTCCCAGCTAGAGAAATAAATGAATCTCTCTCAGTCTCTCTAGCTAAATTGCTATCTTGACTTTTCTTAAATTAACCTTTTATTCTTTAGTAGTAGATCTACTCCTATTCATCAATTTAATGAAATGTTTTATGTTTAAATTTTAAATGTTTTTTTTTTTAATCTTTTCTTCTGTACTGTCGACTTCTCAATTCTTATTCTAGAATATAGAATCTAGAGAAGTCTTAGTTTTTTTGTTGAAAATGTTGTTTCTGAATATTGATTCTGATAATTTATAATACATTAAATGCTAAAAATAAATCTTAACAAGAATTTTTTACCAGAATTATAAAAAAAGGTTTTGAAACATAAACAAAGTTGATTATCCAGCCATTTCTATTGCTAGGGACGCCATGTTAAAAACAACGACTTCCGGTATTTAAGTTTTAAGGAATTAATATTTTATTCAAACAGCATTGACAATTTTAAATCAAAGTTAAAACTATTGTAACGTAAAACAAAACACAGATTAAAGTTAACCGATTTCTTCAAATACTTTTATTTAATTTTTCTTTAATTAAAAAAAAACATAGATCTAAGTACCAGGCTTATTTGCTCGCTTTTATTATTAATCAAACGAGCTTCACAGTGAGGGTATATTTTTATTGTTTCAAAAGGTAAAAACGGGAAATTATGTTATTAGATCTAGATCTATAAAAAAAAATATTTAAAAATGATTTGGAATGTAGCCTGCATGGAATCCTATTAAGTCCTAAAATAGAAGATATGTGTATCTATAATGATTAATAAAAACCAATACATAATTCATTTAAGCAACAGAATGCTTTTCAATTGAGAAATATTTGTAAAAATATACCCCCCCCCCTCTAATACTAATATGTGTATGAGCTTATAGTGCATTATAGACTTATAAATATATAAATATATTGCGTAGTTGAACACAAATTATTCTTATATTGTACCCGTCTTATGATACTTCCTCACGGTAATGTTTAATTTCCTGTTAGCATAATTTAATTAGTTTTGCTGCGAAGCCTTTTCCAAGAGCGAGAGAGGTGACAAATTTGTTGATTGCGGCGGCAGGACTAGACGCGAACGCTGGCGTGACACAAACCGTTTGGCTTTTCATGCAGCCCCCGATAAAAATCTGGCTAAGCGCAGCGGACGAACAACATTATTATTAGCATGAAACGCTAGACTTTCGCAACACAGTTGTATTGGACTATCGTACGAGAACGTAAACAAACATGAGTCAAGCGCCTTTAGAGGTAAATTTGAACTTGGTATCTCTTTGTATCGGTGTTGTGGATACGCTTTGGTCGTTTGGTGTTTTGCAATCGTTGCGTGCAGCGATTTATTTTGTTTCTTTTCTTTGACCTTGTTCTCGTGTAAAGCGCGTCGGCTGAGCAAGACGCGAGTCGTGTGCAGAGTTTTCTAGCAAATCTTCTTGGGTACTCACTCGTCGCTGAATACTGATAAGGCCTAATGAGAGAGAAAAAAAATTTAAACGTGACAACGTATAATTGGAGATGACCAGCATCTCTCACATAAAAGTGTTTAGAGACGGCTAGTTGTTTTTTTTAATATGCCTACAATGACAGAAATATAAATCTAAAAATAAATAAAAAATAAAAACAAACCATAATCTATTAATCTTTACATCTACTCCTATGTCTACATAAAAAAAAACAAAGTAGATCTTCTAGTATCTACTCTAGGTCTGTTTTGAATTATTTTTCATGTTGTTGGTTTTTGTGTGCTAGTGTCTTTTTGGTGGGTTGTTTTGTTAAAGTGATTTTTTTTTAATTTGCAATTTAAATTAAATCAAACTTTATAGGCCAAACAATAAAAGTTACAGCCAAAAAGTCAACCATAATATTTTAAAAACATTTTTTTTCCACCATCATAAAAATATATCAGCCTATCATTATCAACTATGACAATATTTAATTATGTATGTGCAATGTTTATTTTGCTGTAAGAGTACTATGAGTATTAAACAGCAGAAGATATTTAAAGTCTAAACAAAAAAATATGTGTATGTAGGGATTGTAGGTCCATACAAATATCACAACTTGTCTATTTGTAATTTAATCTTTACCCCAACTGTTTGATAAATATGAAATATAAAGCATTAGGCCTATGTGAAGGTTTATTTTTCCAAATGTTCAAAAACATCAAAACATTTTTTTCCTATTTATTTAGTTTTAAAACTATCACCTGTACATTAAATATTTTATCTTGAATTATGTTTATACAGTTTCATTAGGTTATTAAATTGGATTAATTTATTCTTGCAGCAACGAGAAATATCTGCCCCAAGGGTCGGACGTTTCAAAGTTTATATTCAGGTGAGTCTTTGATGCTATTAAAAAAGTTAGAAGAAAAGTTTATTCCTTATTTAAAATCTTGAGCTGGTTTGATAACAATATAGATGGCACATGTTTATCAACCCTGCAGCTTCTTCATAACTTTTAAGATTTTTAAATAAAAAAAAATTAAACAAGCAGCTTAGAAATTCAACCTGCTATAAATTAAGTGTTAATGGGCCAACATAGCTTTCTGACAGTATGAGGGGGGGGGGCGGAGATTGGTTGTCTACCAGGTGCCACTTGCACAAAGTTGATGGGTTTGTTTACATTATTTGTGCCTAGCTTTATAGCTTAATGGAAAGCTAAAACAGAATACATTGGAACATCAACACTATTTATAAAGGTATTACTTACTAATGCATCAGGATTATTTTCTATTTATATATATCGAAAGGATTTTCCCGTAAAACAAAAGTTAACATCAAACAACCAAACTGGCAAATTGCTAACTGTAGACAAAACAATCATTGGTCTTTATTTTTAAACCTTAGATCAAGAGTTCGGAAATAATCAAAGGCATAAAGATTCATTGGGTTTTCCCTGATACATTTGTTGTTATATTTAAAACTTCCAATATGTCTGGCGTTTTTTTTTTTTTTTTTTTGGATTTTCCTTAAATCAGTGTTAGACAATAATTGTTACCGCGGCCTTTCCGTGTTTACATCCTAGCTGAACTCTCGTGACCTTCGTGTTTAAAAGTAGGTCACCGCCATCACGCACGCTGAGTAGTGTAGCCCGCCCCCTCCCTCCCCCTGTCCCGTCATTTCAAATAAAAGAAGTTACAGTAGGCCTAATGCTCGAGACGGCTGACAGCTTTGGTCCCGTGTATTGATTTGTTATGTCCTTAACTCCGTATTACAGATGTTTACATGCTTGGGAGGAAAGGGGGGGGGGGGGGGAGAAAGGAGAAGGGATCAGTACATTCGAAGCCTTGTGTGTGCGTGTGTGTTAATTATATAATAAAAGTAGATGGTTGATAATCAAATACAGGTTTATAGATATATCCGGTCGCTATAACGGATGTAAAGATCTATAGCTATCCTGTATACTTGTCTATACAACAATAATGCCCTGATCGCTGTTTAGTATACTCGTTTTTGCAACAATGAGACTCTAATTACCTACCACGGTATTTGCCTGTACGCTCCTGCACAGGACTTACATTATACTGCCCTAAAGCTGACCCTACAACAAAAAGCTGTATACTTAATTTTTCTTCTTCTAAAACAAGGGTCACTTTGAAATATTTTATGTGGTCGTGTTTACCCCCGCCCCCCCCCCCCCCCACCCACCCCCCCCCCACCCCCCCACCCCCCCCCCACCCCCCCCCCACCCCCCCCCACCCCCCCACCCACCCTTACCATTATCTCCCTTCAAGGTCAGGGGGAGAACACTGCGTTGTGGTTTTTATATTCACAATCCCTGAATGTTTAGCAAACAGAACAGGTCTCTGGTTTACGAACCATGACCTATTTATTACCACCTCATCGCCCCCCCCCCCCCCCTTTCACCTTCCCATTTCCTCCTCTCCATAAATAAAGCTGTTTTCTCGCGTGGTTTACCAAACAGGTTAAAAATGTGCGCCTCTTGTATCTGTTTCCCCCCTCGTTTTCTCTGTGTGTATGGAACATCTCTGAGAGAATTTGATATTTTATGAGTTGTTTATCTCATTTGAGTCCTGATATGAATGCATTTTTTGTACGCTTTTATCAGCAGGAGGCATTAGACAATTAGTTTAACTAAGGCTAGTGTTTGTATCCAGTGTTTCTTCCAGACCTTTTTCTCCGGGCGGGCACTTGAAATTTTCGGGGGGGGGGGGGGGGGAGTGGGCGGTAGACTTTTTTTCGGGGGGGGGGGGGGCGGACACTGTTAAAAGTATATATTTTCTATATTAATTATATAATTTTCATTTCGTTCGTGGGGGCGGTAATAAAAATTTCGGGGGGGGGGGGGGGGCAAAGCCCCCCCCCCCCCCCCCCCCCCCCCCCCCCCCCCCCCCCCCGAAGAGATGCCTGGAAGAAACTCTGTTTGTATAGATTTAAGTTATTGACTTGCGTTTAAATAGAATGTTCATTATAAGCCAATTTTGTTACCATGAAACCATTTTTTTTACAAACTTGTTTACAAACGCGGGGTTGGGGAGGGGGGGGGGGTGCATGCTAAAAATAGGTATAGATATAATAATCCGGTTATGTGTTGACGGATATTATATCATTAAAGAAGGTCGTAGACTTATTATCTTAAACTTAAATACATAATTACGGGGATGGAGATTTAGATACACATCATTCGGAGGAACAGTGGCGGTGTGGTAATTCATAATCTTAATTTCATTAAACAAAGCGCTCTGAGAACGGGTTCTTAGTTAACCCGTCTAAGGTCGACAATCAAACCAATTAGTGGGCGAACTTGAGGCGTCGACTGACAGGCGACAGTTCAACAGATATTGACTGCGTTTTTGAGCTGTTGAATATTTTATGGTCTGTGTGTGTCGGGTGGGGTGGGGGGGGGGGGGGGGGGGGAGAAGAGACGCTACGCAGTTGGTGTTGCAATCTTGTATTGTTGGACAGTAGAAGTTTTGTTGTCTATACCCAGGACGTCAGAAGGTGTGTAGTCATCTGGTGTTAAAAGCGAACTAACTCAACTAACTGTAAGGGTTATGGGCTGTATTGAAAAATGGGGGGGGGGGGTCCTCCGCAAATTCTTATTTTAATTTTATTAGGGGTAGTGGGTAGGGAAATGGAGTGTTATATTGAAAGATAAATTGTGTGTGTAGAGGTGGGATGTATTATAACTAGTTGTTTAAGGTTTCTTTTAAACTTTTTCAAAGATACAGGTCTGTTATAGTGGGAGTTACGGGTCTTGTCCAGAAAAAACCCCGCACTAATGCAAAAAGATAATGAGTGAAAAGTTAAGCCCCGCCACTTCTGAATTTTTCTTTTTGTCTAGACATTTTATTATTTAGACAGCTGCTTATCCGACTCTGAGGTTGGGGTTAGGGTTAAAAATACCAAAATATAGACCTTTTCCTGTAAATTCTTAATCACATGTTCCAATTCCACCCTCTGCAATTGAATTAAAAGAACCATTTTGATATCCCCTTTTTTTTACTTTGGCTGGCGGGGATTTAACTTTTTTGCTGAGCTTATCTGGACAAGATCGCTAGTTGCTAAATATTCTATTAGCCAGCTGTAGGCAAATTTTTTGATATAATTAAATATTGCACCTGTACAGACAACATATTTTATTTTTGTGGTTAATTAAAAATTGACCCCTGGTGTTGACGGGCGTCACGTGGTATTGTTTACCTGCTTTATTGCTTGCCAGACATACCATGACGGCTTCATTATCGCCCCTTTTTGTAATTTAAATTTGATTATCACTGCGTCGTTGGTGGTGTGTGGTGGATGTGTGTGGTCATGTTGTTGTCACGTTGGTGGTGTGTGGTCCTGTTTGTCACGTTGATGGTGCGTGGTCGTGGATGTGTGTGGTCATGTTTCTGTCACGTCGGTGGATGTGTGGTCCTGTTTCTGTCACGTTGGTGGTTTGTGGTCCTATTTCTATCACGTCGGTGGTGTGTGATCCTGTCTCTGTCACGTCGGTGGTCCTATATCTCTCTCATCAAACAAACAACACCCCATCCCCGGCCTGACGCCGTAAACAGTACAACGTGTAGATAACCCATTGGTCACGCAGCGTGACATCACCTCTCTAGTTTACCTACGTGTCCATCCATTTCTCCCCGCCCCTAATGAACCACCTAAAGTACGATCGAGTCCATTGATTATTCCATTCAAGGCCTGACGTCATGTCTGCTAAGCCTGAACGCGGTGACGCAGATTTTTGTTTTGTTTCGTTTGTTTTCGTTCCACATTTTATTTTAGCTCAGTGCATGTGTTCTGCCTTCTCTAGAACATCGAACTTTAAACTACTGCTATGGGGCAACATTCTATATTTTGTTACTCAAATCTTAACTGAGTTACAAGTACAAGGCGACATTGTTACAGATCTCGCTCATGCGTGAAGGGGCCAAACTTGACAGAAGTAAACCCCCCCACCCTCCCCCCTCCACATAACGAGCCCCAAACCGTCTTCCTGTCGTTTCAGCTTTCCTTTACCCTCCCCCCTCTCGCTTTAAACGTATCCGTTCTTTTAGCTACCCTTTATGTTAAGGCTCTATGCTTCTATATTTAGCCCTAAGTTATTCAAAGTATTGAGAGAGCAACTCATCCGAAACCATTTCGTGGTGAATTATCTCCCTCCTCCGCCTTATTCCCCCCACACCCGATTCTATTTATAGACACGCTATTTAAAATTGTGGAGTGTGCTATTGCGCGGCACTGTCAAGAATCCCTGGTGTAGTTCACATAATGAGCGAGGCTATCTGGCTGCAATAGTTCTTTTAAACAGGATTTAGCGATGACCAACACATATGTGCACATGAATATAGAGCAACTACTCCCACAGGCTCTAAGACACCGTGCATCATCGTGATAACACTACTGTTTCTTACAGTGTTTCTTCCAGACTTTTTTCTCGGTGGGAGGGGGGGGGGGGGGGCGGACTAAAATTTCCGATGGGGGAGGGGGTGGCGGACACTGTTAAAAGTATATATTTTCTATATAAATTCATTTTGTTCGGGGGGAAGGGGGGGGGGGGGGTAGACTTTTTTTTTGGGGGGGGGGGGGAGGGGCTCTGCTCCCCAAAGAGATGCCTGAAAGAAACTCTGGTTTCTAAACCTGCTCACTCGTCAATCGCCAGCTGACATGCATGCATTCCTACCATTTTGTTGTCGTGACCTTGGCAAGTTTATATCAGTACGCTCCATTGATCCGCTTGTTGCCCCCCGGTCATAAAATAGTGCCCGCGGTTCGATACAGCTCCACACTTCTACTCGATCGACCCAACCTGTCTTAAAGACGTAGAAATTTACACCTGCATCTGATGCGCGGAGAGCCGTTTATCATACACAAAATTAC